CCTTCGGATATTTCTTTGTGTTTATTGGCGTGTAGATTGTGCATTCCAAAGTTCTCTGTGTTTTTAGTTAACAGCATGTTGGTTGTGAAAACATTTTTGATTAATTGCCATAATTATTGTGATCATTTTTGCCCAAATGAACAGCCAGATGGCAGGATATGGTGTCATATTTGCGATCCTATCATTAATCTGGCTCTAGGTCCATCTGAGCACATTGTGCCGTTTGCTGTGTTCACAATCTGTCCTCAAGTCGTCCATGTCTTTTTTTGAGCTGCGAGTTTTTATTTGATTATATTAGACTATAAAATATTAAAGTTGAGGGTGTATGAAAGCAAGGCATTTATCTGCATGAATAGCTTGTGTTTAGTGAAGTAAGTAATGCACTTTAAGTAACATCTCCTTCATGCATACAAAAATTAACGTGAGTGTTTCCGTTTCATGGTTTTGTAGTGAAAGCCTCAGGACGGTCCAACAAAACCGCTTCGTGGGGGTTTGTGGCTGCTTTTAAAACCCGCTTTTCATAATCTAGCCTATGGATGATGTTTTTTAGTTTTTACCAAAATGTGGACCACAACACTGTTAATAACAAGACTCAGTTACAGTGTGTCTGCAGAGTTTTGAAGTCGGTTAAGGACGTCATTCAAAAGTGTTAAATGAAATAATAGCCCAGGTGGGAACTAACAACACATTCCTATTTAAAAGCAAGTCAAACACTATTTAATTCTGTGATATCAATTAACCTCCAGACAAATGTTGTCAAAGGGAGCAGTCTGAATGTGATTGTTCTCTCTTTACTCTGCAGTGTCCTTGGGCTCGGGGAGACTGTTTCCTGACAGGGAACAATGAAGCGAGAGGTGTTTACAGATCTTTACAGATGGCTCCGGGGCTCAGAATTAGCTCTTCGCCGTTTCTTATGTGATTCAGTTCAGACTTAACTTCAGATGTGTCATCAAGACTATCATCAGGATGTCTGACAATGTATCTGTTTTATCTTGACGTGCGCTGCTCACTGAGTTAGTCAGATATCACTGTCAAATATTAAACCTTGTGACATGTGTGTCTCATTCTAATGATAGCTCACTGCAGAAATCACAATCACATCGCGGTGGCTTTCAGAAAACACACCCTCCTGTTTCCAACCTTGCAAAGAGCTTCACAACTTTGGAATTAGGTTTGGTACACCCAGTACTTTCTGACTGACATTTCACACCTATTTATAACAACAGAAGAGCACGTTGAGTAAGTGTTTTTAAAATGTACAGACACAATTAATTGGGCTTACATGTGAGTGGAAACAGGGACGAGAAACAGATGATAGTTACTGAGACAGCCTGGAGATTGTTCAGTGATCCTGACCTGCATTGTTAGAGTGGTCTCTGTCTATCCAGCAGGCCTCTTTTTTTTTTTTTATTTTTTTTTTTTTCTTTTACTTTACATGGCATAAATCCGGGAGATGAAAATGTCATGGAGCAGGTTCATTTTGCAAAGAGGTTTTGATTGCCATGCGCGTGTAATTGATTGTTCCAAGGACAGGGGGAAATCTAGAAATGTCATAACAGTCCTGCTTAGGTTGGTCCCACCACAAGGCAATCAATGAGAAGTAAAAAGAGATATTGATTTGCGAGCAGCAAAAACTGTAGCTTGAGACAACCGGAGAGCGCCGGGGAAAGTGGCACAGACGTGCAGACCTGTCACTGGCACCTATGAATTACCCAATCTTCTCTGAAGATAGTGTTACCTCGGATACTCACAGAGTCCTGCGCCGGGTATTGCAGCGGTGTCCGTTAGCTAAGCTCCTCAGGCTGCTAACTCTTTCTGGCTTGTCAGATTAATGAAGGAAATGTTGACCTTCCAAGAGATAAATGTTGATGTTCTCAAATTTACAAAAGTTTGTTACTGGCATGTTAGTGTTGGAAACAGAATGCCCTTTTACAGCTGGCTCACACGTGGACAAAAAAAAATAAATGATTGACAGATTTTGAATAGACTCACTTACACAAGGGAGAGGGGATTGTACTCTACGAAAATAATGCTTCAAGATGAGTTGTAAATATATTGTCATGTAAGCCTTTAGTACCAATCCAATTGGACAGCAGGCGGCCGTGAATGTTGCAGTGAACTTAATCTACTGTTTCCTATTCAGTTTAACTGGTTTCTCTTGATGTAAGGGGGAGAAAAAACATTTTGGCTCAGAAAACCGTCTGCTGCTTCTGTAAATCCAGGCCTTGCTATGCCAAGAGTCTGCTCTAACGGATAAAGGTTATAAACACTTCAACTGCCTGATTTATGATGGATACCTCAGGTTTTTTGACCTTTGCATATCTCTGTCTGAAGATATAAATTTGTAGTGACACAGATTGGAGGCTTTACAGGAGTTTATGACATGCTAAATCTCCGGCAAGGCATGCCAGCCTCTCGTTTCGTGAGGCTAGTTAGCTTGGGAGTTGCCTTGCTTGGACTGCTAGGCAACATTTTCAAACCAGGCATTTCCTTTTCTGTTTTTTTTTTTTTTCTAAGTTGTGAACAAATGTGCATGAGAATAAGCAATTTCTTCTCCTCACTTTTAGTTTCCACAATGACGCACCAGTTCTTATACTTAAGTTTGAGGCCTTTCTGCAATTAATTCTGTATTCTTGACAAACTTGTTTCTTATAACATAATGACCTGTTTTGGAGGAGTTGTCTGTTGTTGTTGCATTGTCCTTGAATTCTTGTGTGAAAGAGTAGCGCAGCTTGGCACGGCAGCAGTTTTGTGGTAGAACAAGAGCAGGCATAGCACGTTTACAATTGGTGTGAGAAGCAGAGTTAGACATGCGGGTAACTTGGAGTGATCCCTGCCAGAAGGTTAATTGGTGCCTCTGGATGTCTGCTACTTAGGGCATCTGATAGAAACGCATGAAACAACAGGAAGGGCTGCAGTTAATCTCTGTCAATTCCACCCTCAAAAAAACCACGATAAGACGCAAACATTCACATTCAAATTGATATAACTACATCTTAGTGGTTATTTCCAGGAAAGCAGTGCTTAGTCTTGGTGAAACGCACATTTATCTCACAAATTGGGAATGTGGAACAAAACTGCATCCATTGGTGAATTTGAAGCTACATGAAATATGCAGGGAATAGCCTTTACATGCGGGTGCATACTAGGATTGAGACATTTCAATTAAGCTCTCACTGGACGGGAAAAATTCTCATCTCCCCACTTTGGAGTGCGTTCTTCCCAGTCCCTCAGTTTTAGTGGCGACTTTGGAAGAAAGAGGGACATCAACTTGGAGCTTGTCATAGCCATTGGTGTTCTCCTTCACTGTGAATATTATATATAAGACTATAAATAAAACATACCTCTGTGCTCTTGACAACTCTCTCCCTTGGCATCAAGGGTATTTTGGAGGCCATCACCGATCTCGGTTGACCAATCAAAACATCTCTCTTGCGGTGGATCAAGGTCACAGCACATTGGGGCTCTTGGGTGTGAGAATGTGTGCAGGCTCTTGTTCACCAGGCCCCATTCTCCATGTTTGTTTGGAAAGTCCGAATCCCATCTCCATCCATTAGCTAGCAGGCAATTCACCTCCAGGGTTTCTCTTGAGGCACTTGTGAAATATTGATAAAAAAAAAAAAAAGTGTCTTATTTTCAGAAGGCAAAACGAAGGGAAGACATTCTATGGGCCGCCCAGTGTGGGACTCCTGAGTGCTCGGCTTCAGCCTTCCCCCTCATGGAGTGCCCTCTATTCAGAAGAGAAATATTAACCACATGAAATGCATAAGTGCCTGGACAGGGCTGTTATGTCCTATTCATATTTAACTCGGGGCCCATCTGCCACGTCTCTCCCAAAATGCACATTTTCCAGCATGATTATGAGGTGGAAAATATCTCAGATATGTGACAACACTGACAAACTGCATTTATTGCAGGATGTCTTGAAAAGATTTGCAAACATCGGTTGTGATATTGTTGTGTGGGTTGCCGGGTGTTTAGATTTTAAATAATCTGAAATAGTTATTGTCAGAAAGGACACTTTAATATTCCGTGGCTGTGTTCATATTATGCCGAGCAGACCCTGAAGCAGTGTGAAGAACCCTCTATGCTGAGTCAGAGTTTCCACTAATTGGATGATGGGAAATATGTCAATTAGAAATACTGTTGTTTAATTATCTGTTAATTGAAGCAATAATGTTTGTGCTCTATGAGTTGGGAGAATGAACAGGTGAATAATGAAAGGAGTAATTGCTGTTTATGAGACTGTCAGGGAAAATATAATGACGTGACAGATTGCCAGTAATTTTTTGAATTTCTTTCTAATTGTCTAGTTTTAACACTTATAATTGAATCAGCTTTTCCACCAGCATGATGAACAGCTTTATCAGCTTTCACATCTGCAACATATGTTTATTTTGCTTAATGGCTACATATCTTCTGAAATTTGTTTTCTCATCTTTTGTTAGTCGAGTCTTTAAATTTATAGACGGAGCAATGCAGGACACATTTCTGAGTTTATGTTAAGACATTCCGCACATACGGCTTCAGGGAAGCTTAGATGTTATCCAGAACAGAAGGCTTACATTTTCAATGCAGTTTTGAGGCATCCATAATCGCCATGGAATAGGTCATTTACAATAACACTTAGCGGGTCCCAGACGAATCAATTTCCTTTTGTCACTCAGTGGCCAATGATTGTTGTAAACATCTCAACTTGAGGCCAGAAAAAACCTTGGACACAGCACTAAGTCAATGGTCTGTCGTGAATCACATGGTGCCGTTACACCAGCAGCAGTCTGTTAGTAAAGACATTATGTCCAGCTATACCCTCCAACCTCCCAAGGCACAAAGCAGCCGCTATTATGTTGTCTTAAATGACTGCTGTGATTTCTCACAAAAATTTACTTGCCGCCACATTTGGACTTTTTAAATATTGTTCTTTGGAAATTAAATTCATTAAACTGCCGTCACACAATCTGTTTTAATGTCATTAATCTCCGTGTCTCTTTCTTCTCTAGTCTACGTGCCTGATGAAGACGGTGTTCTTCGGGAATCCATCCCTGAGGAAGACGGCGAGAACGACACGCAAACTGAAGAAGAATGCTCAGAGAAGACCAGCCCCAAAGTGGCCGAGGACAAAGAGCTAGACAACAAGAGCACCAACACTTATAGCAACCAGAACTCTCCCATCAGTGTCCTTTCCAATCAAGAGGCCGAGTTGGAGTCACGCCTTAGCGATACCAGCGACAGACTCTCAGACTTCAAAACCTCCTCGCCACCTGAGAGCCAGAGGGATGTCGAGAGCCGCAGCTCCAAACAGAAAGACGAGGTGGGCGGCAGCTTGGAGAAGATGAGGGCAGCCTATGCAAACTTTCTCTCTGATTCCTACTGGACTGGGATAGGGATGGACTTGAAAATTGGCAAGAAATCCAGCAGAGCCAACTGTGACAGCACCAACGGAAGCGCCAAGAGTGAGTTTGACTGGCACCAAGACGCGCTCTCTAAGACCCTGCATCAGACACTCTCCCCAAGGCCTGCATCCAGACCTAACCTCTTTAGCTCTGTCCACCTGTACAGGCAAACCACCAAACCCTGTGGCTCAGTGTTCACAGGAGCCAGCCGATTTCGCTGTAAGGATTGTAGTAACGCTTATGACACTCTCGTGGAGCTGACGGTCCACATGAACAAAAGCGGACACTACCAGGACAACAACCACGGCAAACTGAGCAATTCCTCTGCTTCGTCTTCTAAATCTAGGAAACGGAATTTGCATGATATGGAAGGAAAAGAGGATGCACAAAAAGTTTTGAAGTGCATGTTCTGCGGTCACTCTTTTGAATCACTCCAGGATTTGAGTGTCCATATGATAAAAACTAAGCATTACCAAAAAGTGCCTTTAAAAGAGCCTCTCCCAGTAATCGCACCCAAATTGTTGCCACCATCAAAGAAACGAGCCTTTGAGACGGTGAGACCTTGCTCCCCTGACTCTACAACTGGTCTATCTGGCTACACTGAGGCACAACGGGCCGCCGCCATTTCAAATGCCAACAATAATCGCTACGGCTATCAGAACGGAGCGAGTTACACTTGGCAGTTTGAAACGTGCAAGTCTCAGATTCTTAAATGCATGGAGTGCGGAAGCTCCCATGACACCCTTCAGCAACTCACCACACATATGATGGTTACTGGACACTTCATCAAAGTCACAAACTCAGCCTCTAAAAAGGGTAAACAGTTAGCCCTTGACCCCCTGGCCATAGAAAAGATCCAGGGTTTAGCTGAGCCTGCTGCCACTGACAGTGAGGGAGAAAAGGTGTCTCCGAAAAATCCCTCCCTGGGGAGCAGTGAGAGGGATAGCCAGGGGGAAGGTACATCAGACAAAATGGAAGAAACTGAAGCTAAAGATGACAAGCAAGAGAGTGAGGATCAAAAAGCAGACAATGGGACTTTTAAGTACCCTTATCTCCGTGAGGAGGATCTTGAACAGGACTCAGGAGGCGGAGGGGACATTCTTAAATCTTTAGCCAATACAGTGGCCTCTGCCATCAATAAAGCTCAAACAGGGTCACCAAGCTGGAGTGCCTATCCGAGCATTCACGCTGCCTATCAGCTCTCTGGTCTCATCAAAAGCGCCCCACTCTCTGCATCTCCCCCTACTCAGCTAAAGCAGACATTTAACCACAAGCTGAGACCGATTGCCCCAAAGGGGAAGTTATACCACGGTGCTGTGGGAGTCGAGGCTCCCCAGGGACAGCATCAAAATGTGGACATCAAAAAAGAAAAGGTTGGCATTACCGATGGTGAAGAAAGTCAGAATATTAAGTTTGATCTGGTGGAGAATGATGACAGCGATTGTCAGGATGATTCCTCTTCCTCTTCAAAGCTTGATGCAGACTGTATGAATGGAGGGAGTGAAGCGATCAAAGGGAAGTTGAGCCCAGATTTCTGTGACAGAGGCAAGACACCGAGCCCATCTGCCAGCAATGGACGCAGCACTACTTCAGAGCCTCTCAGTGACACTCCAAGTCTACTTGGCATAAACCCTCTTAGTGCTCTACAGTCAGTTCTGAACAATCATCTGGGCAAAGCAAATAAGCCCAATAACTCAAGAGGAGATAAACTATCTGCCCACACCCAGTCTATTTTTGCTGACATTAACCGTAGCAGTGAGAAACCAGCTTTAATGCTTGGAAATGCTATGAGAAAGAGGGCCGATAACCCCTTTCTCTTTGTTAATGATGACCAACCAATAGATCTGACAAAAGCCAAACACAGCAAGCAAAGTTCCTCGCTACTCCACCCCGCCACGCCGATGCCACAGAAATATGCTCTGTCTGACATTGCAGATATGGTTAAAGTTCTTCCAAAAGCCACAACGCCAAAACCCTCCATACCATCAAGGATCCCGATGATGAAGCTGGAATCCGATGTCAGGCGTTTTGAGGACATGTCTGCCGAGGTGTACTCCGTCCACAAGCGTAAAGGTAGACAGTCAAACTGGAATCCTCGCCATCTTCTCATCCTGCAAGCTCAGTTTGCCTCCAGCCTCTTCCAGACCTCTGAGGGTAAATACTTACTCGCAGACCTAGGCCCTCAGGAACGGATGCACATCTCCAAGTTCACCGGATTGTCCATGACCACCATAAGCCATTGGTTAGCAAATGTAAAATACCAACTGCGTAAAACCGGAGGGACCAAATTTCTGAAGAGCATGGACACCGGGCACCCGATCTTCTACTGCAATGACTGCGCTTCTCAGTTTAGGTCCCCCCCCTCATTCATTTCCCATCTGGAAACCCATCTCGGGTTCCAAATCAAAGACATGTGCAAAATGCCGGTAGAGCACCAGACGAAGGTAGAGGAGCCAGAACTGTCGAAGGCCCTCAGTGTCAGAGCCACAGAGGCTCTGGTCACGGACGAAGACACTGACTCAAAGTTCAAATGTAAGCTCTGCTGTCGGACATTTGCGAGCAATCACGCAGTCAAACTTCATTTGAGTAAAACTCACAGCAAATCCCCTGACAACCATTCACAATATGTGGAAATGGACAAGGAGTAGTTTTTCATATTATTATCACTTTTTTTTTCCTTTTCTTTTTTTTTTATTTCAACACACGGGTCAGATATTTCAACCATTTTTCAATTAGCATTGTGTAGTGCATCATTATGACGTTTTAAAAACATTTCATGGACAGTAAAGACACACTGGTTAGAAATTGTATAAGGAAACACTAAGAGATACTTTTGCACCCTGCTCAAATGCATCACCAGTAATGAAATGTATTACTGCTTGAAGAAACATAATTGCTGATGTTTGCATGCAATAGCCCCGGCTATGACTACTATTTATTTGTATGATATGTCAAGTTTAAATTGTATTTCAAAGACAAAATAATGAACTAATTGTACTTTACAACTTCTGTGATACTGTCCACCTGCATACATGTGCAGCTGTTAACACAGGTAGCCCGACACACGATAACACACACGCAGACCTGTACAGTGTATTGCTATGTAAAGATGTTTTGTGTTGCAATGATAGAAGAGAAAAAAAGCACTTTAATAAATGTTTAATCACCAGTTTAGACTCAGATTCTGTACATGACTCAAAAAATAATTAGACGGTTTGGGAACAAGGATATTTCACATGTAAATATATTTTAGAAGAAAAAAAAAAAAGTGTGTTTCATGCAACAAAAGGATAACAGCAAGACAGATGATACCTGTGATACCTGCACCTTTTTTTACTTATTCAAATAAAGAGTTAACATTTGATAACAGCTTGTATATCTTTTTTTTTTTTTCTCTTTGATGTCTGCTTGCCTCGTTAGTTTTTAAAAATATAAAGATGTTAAGATTTTCTGCTTAGCAAACCTGGCTTGTAAACCCTGACCAACTGATGATGTACAATAAATATCTATATAATACCAGCAAATTCTACTCAAGTTATGCAAGTATCAGTAACACTTTATTATTACGTTATTACTGGAGGAAATTTCCCAGAAAGAACAAGGCAATTTGGTACTTATCAGGGACAATGGAAACACTTCCACTTCATTTCTAGGGAAATCTAAAGAGTCTTTTAGTCGGTGCACAGCAGGTCCGCTGAACATGCAAAATGTGATTCAATTCAACATATATGGAGCATAAAATTGCCAATAATGAATTGATATTTACTTTGGTGTTAAAATAATTTCTTAAAAATAAAAAACACATTTTGTTCTGTAATTAATACCAAATTAGATCTTTCCAACAAACTTATAACAAAATGACCAGGGAAATATTCAGAAATAACAGACCAATAAGATAAGTGTTACCCAAGTATTTTGTATTTAAATTCACAATGTCTTCCTTATCTTTTACAAGCTTTTCAATCCACGGCAAAGCTCAATGCGACAAAGGATAGCATCCCCATACTGCAGCCCACACTGCATTCTGTTTTTTTTTTTTTACCTTATGACTTTTAGATACACCTCAAAGATACATCTTCTTGTCAGACTTTATTGCTTTCCTATGAACGCCGCTGCTGTTGCTGCAAGATGGTATCATAACAATTAAACATATTTCCTCCAGCTCTATTATTTCAAGGCTATTAAAAATAATTGCCTTCTAAATTCATAAACATTTTATGCAATTCATCTCTTTTCGAGCAATCAAGTCTTCAATTACCTCCACCCATCAAATCTCTGTTTTATAACGGCCAACTGACATTTGATGGTGAATGGGGGGGAAAAAGCACATGGGCACTGTGGTGATTTGAATGCTGTGACACCAACTTGCCCCCTATTGTTGGAAATGAGCAGGCAATCACGTTGTTCATCAGATGACTCCTAATGCAGTTAAAGTATTCAGCTATAATTTCTTCCCTGCATTTATAATTACTGTCAAAGACCACACACCTCAGTGAGCAGATTAAAGCTATAAATTATTTAGTGCCTTTCTTCTCCGAAGGATCTCTGATTTGTCTGTAGGGCCATTATGTTTTAGAGGAGCAACTTATTCTAAACTGAAGCAGGCATTGTCCTTAAGATGCAGCAGAATGCTTTGCAGGCTTGGGGGAGGGAAGATGGGAATATTACTGGCTGTTTATGTTTATTAAGTGACATTTAAAGTGAGGCTTTTTACTAACAAAAGATGACATCGCAACGCAGAATTTTTCAATTTTATTAAGCTTTTATTTATTTTTGTTTTTACACAAATCATTATTCAATTCATACACATAATATATATGCTGAAAGTACATTTTGAGGATTCAGCACAACCTAGTAGAGATTCACCCATGGCTGACCGAAGACAAACGCTCTCATCAGTGCAATCACAGAGGGAAATTAGTTGTCTCTGCACATAATTTGCTCTAATAAGTCAAAGTCGATGTGGGACTCATTGTTCGTACACAAAACTGCTAAATGGATGTAATATCAATTAAAAAAACAACTTTATAAGGTTAATATGAGTTGTATCATGCAATCAGCAATCATTTCAATGTGCATAAACTGTAGTTGGTGGAAAATCAAAATACACATCAGCTGCTCCAGTTTTTCAAATAAACATAATGCTCTCTAATAGGAATACCTGAGTTATTAAATACTGATATACTTCAGGTAACACATCGCAGGTAATTACGTGAAATAAACCCATAATTCTTTCGGTGCTTTATATTAATTCATTTTGGATGTTTGCATATTAACACACTTAATCGCACCGTATATCTAACATGTCATGGCTAATTACAGAACACAGTCAGCTTTCTGCAATTACACACACACACACACACACACACAATCTTGCTTTTAAACTGATTGATTATGAGAGATATTAAGCGCAGTAACATGCTCATTCATGGACACAGTTTATACGTTGTTGTTTTTACAGTACTCTACATTAGCTAGAACGCTGGGCAGTTACATGGTGACAGATCTCGGCTGTGTGTGTCCCGTCAGTATGGTTCCTCTCAATAAACGAAAGAGAACAATAATAAGACAAAATGTAGGTGAAAGTCACATCGCAGACCTTTTTCTCTCAAAGAAATCCCTCTACATGCAGTGAAGCCAATCTACAGACCACACATATATGATTGATTATTATCACTATTAGCACCATTGATTCTGCTAGCTGTGAAATTGTTTTTGAAATGTATTAAAATCAAGAAAGCCTCAGAAATGTCTCACTGTCACATTTTTTCCTAGCCTGGAGTTACTTTCTAAAACAGTTCTAATAACTTCTAATAGCTTAGTCGAAAAAATGTAATTATACATATAAGTAAGCTTGCATTGAAGATGCAGTGAAACCCGACTTTAGCTAAAATGACGCCAACTCGTCTTTGCAAATTCTTTGTCAATCTGTCATTAAACATGCTATCAAATAATGATAAGTGCACGCTGCTTGCTTGCACTGGCGTGTCTCCCTGACGCTGATGTGCTGTAATAGGGCAAATGTGCATCAGAATTTGCCTGCTTGGATACACACAAAACACTGTGTTACACTGTGCCTGACTTTGCTTCGCCCTGTGCAAGACGAGCATGGATTCTCTGCATCATCTGGCCTGTAAACCAGAGGAGGAGGAGGAGGGGGAGGAGGGAGGGGGGTTCAAAATGTTCATCACACAGCAGCAGGGTAATGACTAGCTCATGTGTTTAATGAAGGGCTTTAGAACTTATAGCTATAATGACCCACATCCTAACTCCCTTTTCTCCCATTTATTCTCCCCAAAGTCCTCAGGTTATTACGTCCCTCTGAGAAATATCCCAGAAAGAGCTTTACATCTCTCCATTCCTTTTCACAGAGATATCAGAACATTCGTCCTTTTACCTGCATTAGACTGTTGCAGATTTACTGACACGATATTATTTTCAAAATGTGGAGGACCAAATACTTGGAATATAAAGTGATGAATGATGTACCTAAATGCTCTGCCTCTTCTTCCTTTTTTTTGGCTAAATAATAAGCTGTAAAATATGATTTATAATGAATTCAGCCTCCTGAGAATGTGAGCTCATACAAGACAAAGAGGAATGCATGTATGTCTGCTCTCCTACATACATCATATCTTCCAAATAGCCCATAGTCCTCCACTGTTAATGGTGTTGCTTCAAATATGTTAATTAAGCAAAAATAAGTGATGAATGGAATACATTTGATCAATCAAGTAGGCCTAAGCCCCTGGTGCTGCATATTCATTGTACATCATGAATATGAAACCAAAGTCATTTATCAAATATCAGTTGCACATTTGTATCTTATTAATCATACATGCTGAAACTTCTGTCTTGTCAAAAAGGCTGAAGGTTGATGAAGCACTTGCAAAAAGGATTAAACTCGGGTAACTTGGGGTAGTGATTCAGTTATAATGCATGAGGTATTTTCAAACTTCCAGAATCTTAAAGAGTTAGTCAATCCTCCCTCCTGATGACGTTCAGATCCAAACCCCATTTTGCCCCTTTTTTTTTCCCTGTCTTTTAGATATACACTTGTAATGATTGCCCAATAATTACAGATATTCATCACTGAAAAAGGTTATTGATTCATTTTATAACTTGAGCCAGGCTTTGGGGACGCACTTAAATCATTTCGGTCTGTATATTACCAATGCAATAGGTTAATTTTAGCTAGTGCCCATTGGTTCAACACGCCACAAGACAAGGGTTTGTTTTGACCCAGTGTTATGTTTTGATATTCATTTAGGGTTATTTGCCCAAACTAAAATAGGTATGGTTGCAAACTGTTGTAATCTGTCGCTCTTTTTAAACTCACACATCAGTATTTCTTAGTGTTTGTTGATAATTTGTGGGTTTTTTTGCACGTCTTTTTGTACAACTAACAATACATTTGATACCATTTTAATGTATAACTTGATCATTTGGTGTCCAACACTGTGTTAAGATAACCATATTTTAGTTTTGGCAAATAACCCAACAGTAGTATAAAAATAACTCAGTGATTTAACTGCGCAATGTGGGGTTTTGATGGCTGATACAAAAAAAAGGAGGTAAATACTTTATTTTCACTTTTTATTAGTACAAATGAATAGCCCCCGAAGACACATTTAGGGTGACAGTGACCACTGAAATGGATTAAAGTACTCCATGTTATTGTGAAGCAGTGTATAGGAGAAATATTTAGCAGACACATACTGTAAATGAATAATTGATTTATAACAAGTGAACAAAAGATGAATAAATAAATCAAATTCCCATCTTTTTTTAGCTGATTTATGACGTTATATAAAAAGCTGATAGCCATAGCCAAACCTCTGTGTAACAATGTGTGGAGGTTTTCATTGCGATCATACAGTGGATGAGAGAACTAACACTTGATTGCCAGCAGTTCATCAGTGCATCCTTCATATTTGTCACCCAGCCTGCCTCAAGGCAGCGTGCTAGCTCAAATTGAAGCTGACATCTTCCAAATATGAAAGCAACAAATCACACATTTTTATTGGGCCTAATCTCCAGCCTAGCCCCTTGCAGACGTCAGCACAATCATGGACGCTGCTCTAATTCTTGCCGACTGGCTGCTTGTGCCTCCGAAGCATCTCAGGACTCGTGGAGCAAACGCAAATGACCAGGCACCAGAGACAGGGGTGACACCTGCGCTTATCAGGAGGCGTTCTTATGGTGGGAAAGAACAATCGCAAACTCGTGTAACAAGATTGTGCTTCGAGTAATCTATGGATGAGCTGTTAATGGAGGCTACATCTTGGAACATGATGAAACATATTGATCTTAAGACAGATAAACAAAATAGCTGATGTCTCGTTTGACTCACTGGGGTTTTTTCAGTTGTTTGACTTGTACATTCATATCTGATACCTTTAATATGTTGCATCTGAACTTTAACAGGGAGTTGTATGGGAGTCCTAAAAATAAACACCTATAGAGGAAAGCTAAAAAAAACAAAAATCTGTTTCATAATATTAGGCAAAAAGGTCAGTTGCCACTGTAAAAAAAATAATTGCTTGTCCGACAAAACAAGCCAGGTTAATGTGTCACCTTGGGCTCCTGCAGGTTGTGATGGGTATTGTTACTATTTAGTGGCATTTTATAGGCAAAATCAATTAATCTTAACCGACAGATCAATTAAACATAACAATCATTTATTCCAGGCCTAATTGGTTCTATTTAATGTCCCAATGTATCAAAGAACAAAGAAAAACAAATCCCCAATGTGGCTCTAAAAGAACGAAGTAAAAACATAAGTAAATATATATATATATATATATATATATATACGGTTGAATATGGTTCTCATTAAAGGGGCACTATACAGATTAAGCAACCCAACGTCTGTTAACAGGTCTTAGGAAGTTCTACTGCAAATGTTTAAAAATATATATTGTACAACACCTTTTGAGGCTCCAGGGGAAGTTACACAAAATCTGATGAAATCTGCCTCAAGTAATGTCACTTGACATTGAGCGTCGGTTGGGGCTGAAGACTACACATTTGAAAATGAAAACAAATCCAGGGGTGTGGAGTGAGCAAGACGTGAGCTCACCAGGCTCTGTAGCCCGCTGCTCATCTCTGAGTGAGGGGAGCTGCTCAGGGCTGCATTAGCTGTTTCTAGCATAACACACGTTAATCCCTGAATGAACTCTTCAGTGGTGGAGTTGCATTGTGGGTAATGTAGGCACCAGGATTTGACAGAGAAGAAGAATGTGTAAAACAAAAAAAGACAATCTCTTTTCTTCCTTTTTTTCCCACAATGGGTCAAACGATGTTGTAGGAGTGCAACATTAAAACGGTGGAGTGCTGCTTTAAGGCTGGAAACTACAATACAGCGTAGATGTAGGTGGGCCAGAAATGTGTAACACAGCTTCTCAGCTCCCTCCAGATGTGTGACCAACAGAGACACATAAATCTCAAGAACAAAACACATCATAGCAGGAACCATAAAGACTTGCTGGGAACAATAAGAAACCCAGTCACTGTTTGTCAAATTCTAGCCAACAGAAACCCTTTTTTCGTGAGGCTCTAATACCAGAGAGTTACAGCGTGTGTGTGAGACTCTAAATGTTCTTCAAAGATAATCTGAACTAAACAGCCAGTGCCAACAGAAACAAGATAGCAATTGACTACACTTTCTGTAGGACCAGGCACCCACTAGACATATTGTTGGTGTCATATTCAGCTTGACATTGGTCACAGTGAAAGTGTAGCTTCTTTGACCGCTGAAAATATAAGACTGGTATCAAGTGTATTTGATAATGATTGGTACATTCTAAGGTCAGGTCAAAGTTGATATGGGGAACATGTTAGCCTATTCACACAGTCAACGGACACAAAGCAACATTAACACTTGATTGGCGGTCTGTTTCAGGCCACCTAGAAGATGTAAGTCTAATATTTACTCTTCTTTTATCTCTGTTTTGGTCTCCACCAACTTCGGGGGAAATATCTAGCTTTTAAGCTGCTACATGCTAGTCGCTAACGCTGTCTGTCTGATATTTGGTACTGGGTAGGTAGCGTTCAGTGGGTTTATTAGAGCTTTTTTTCTACTTCTACTTTTGCTGGAAATTAGGTTGAGAGTGAACCAAAACAGTAAATTTGTGGGCAGTAAAACTAAACCAGTGAGCTGATTGATGCTGAAATGTTCCGTAGAGCTGAGGGGCATTTGAGAGTTGTGGGATAATTGTCAGCGGTTTTGTCACTACGAGTGACCCCTTTACTATTGTGCATCATCATTTCATCTATTGTTAATGTAAAGATATTGAATAGAGCAGCTTTAATAATAACAGGTAGCGTTCAAGATGAATGGTTGAGTCATAAAAGAGTAAGGAAGCATTCTTTGTAGCAAATAATGCAATGCCTTTTTCAAATTAAAGTGATTGGCCTATTAGAGGAACGCCACAGTATTTACTTACTTGTTGGATGCTGCAGAAACTTGGAAAAATGATGAAGCCCACAGCTGTGTTTTCAGATTTTCGGAATTACACAGATGAGCCCAAGGAGGAGCTGAGCAACATCTGTTTGCTCATTTATGTGTCAAACACAAAACATCAGAGATGACTGATCTCACTTTGACAAAACTTGGAAAATGATGCATCTCACCACTGTTTTCTGGCATTTAGAATAACACTGATTGGTCCAAGGGGAAATTACAATTCAAAATAAAGTGACACATTTGTTGCTGATTGGCCCAGATGGGGCCATTTTGGGGACACAAAAAAAATGATTACTATTACTTTGTCTTCCCAATCTGAAATTTTCAGAGGACGGATCGTACACATTACGGAATATGAAAGTTTTGAATCGATGACATGCAGCTGCATTATGATTATAGCACAGTGAGGTATAAGAATTATAAAAACCCACTAAAGAGCCTGGAAAGAATCTGACTGTCAGCACTGTGCAAGGTCGTCCTCGCTGTAAACCAACAACCAGAATTGGATGTGATTGGATTTGGACCCCTCAGACACTGTCAGGAGACTCCAGGTTTGTTGTCTCTCTTGCAGCCAGCAGTCAACAAGGGCACAAGAATGCTTTCCTTTTGCCACTATGAATTTGTTGGCTCGCTGAAGCATTTTCCTTTCCTCTCTGGTTTATTTTTTTCTCCACCTTTTCATAACAAGCATATTCTGTATTCACACCTTCCTATTATTAGATCGCCTCCTGACTTGCAGCCGAGTTGGCCTTAA